ATGTATTTGTTATTCATAATTTTTATATTTATCTTCTTCCTCTTCCTAAAGAACCCCCTTCAGCAATTCATATAATTCTGGTTTGGCGGTGATGAACTCCTTTAGCTTAAATTTATTTGTAAAGCTCTTTATCTGGCCTTCGATTCTGAGTGATAGCTTTGCTGGGTAGAGTATTTTTGGCTGAAGATTCTTGCTATTCATCACCTTGAATATTTCTTGCCATTCTCGTCTGGCCTACATGGTTTCTGTTGAGAAATCAGCTGACAATTGTATGGGTGCTCCTTTATAGGTAACTACCTGCTTTTCTCTTGTTGCTTTTAATATTCTCTCTCTGTCTTTTGCTCTTGGAATTTTAATTATGATGTGTCTTGGTGTGGTCCTCTTTGGATTCCTTTTGTTTAGGGTTCTGCAGACTTCCTGGACTTGTAAGTCTCTTTCCCCAGGTGGGGGAAGTTTTCTGTCACTATTTCTTCCAGTATTCTTTTGGTATTCTGCTCTCTCTCTTCTTCTGGGATCTCCATAATTCTGATGTTGGTTCACTTGAAATTGTCCCAGAGGTTTCTTATACTATCTTCAACTTCCTGAATTCTCTTATCTTCTTGCTTCTGCAGAGAAGTGTCCTCTGGCTCTTTGTATTCTATAATAAATCTTTGTCTTGATTCTTGCAATCTTCGATTCTGTTTTTAGGACTCTGTGTAATATTTTTTTATTTCAGACAGTGTTTTCTTTATTTCTAGTTGATCCCTTATTATTTCTAGTTGATCCCTTTTCATATCCTCATGGGTCTCATTTATTTTATTGGCCTTTTTTTTAGGATATTATTGAAAAGCCTTATAACAGTGGTTTTGAACTCAATGTCCATTCTTTTCTTTTCCTCCATCTCCTTCCTTTGTGTCCTACCTCTTGTCTGCATTTTAGTTGTTTTCCTGATTGATGGAATAGTTTTGTGTGTTAGGTGTTCTGGTAGAGCCCAGTAGCATAGCCTTCTCAGTTACCTGCAGCAGACAGTCTTGTTGTAGCCCTTTGTGGGCTATGTGTGCAGTCTGGTTGTTAAGCCTTGCTTATCACTGGGAAGCGTTGATCTCCAAGCCAATTGGCTGTGAGGATCAGCAGTGTCTCAGTTAGGAGGGCTTCTGTACTCCGCTTGGATAGGGTGGAGCCTTGGGGTGGCGCAGACAATCTTTGGTTCCCTGTCAGTCCTTCCTTAGAGAAAGCCAGCCTCTGGGAGAGCTTCTGTGCTCAGCTTGGATGGGGCGGAGTCTCGGGATGGTGCAGACAAGCTTTGTTTTCTCATCAGCTCCTCCCCAAGTGGCTCCTCCCCAAGTCCCACAGTAATGGCCTCTGGCTTCACACACCTCCGAGAGATCTCTGCCTGCTGCCTGACAGTCTGGCCTCTCCCTGACTGGGGTCGTCTATCAGAGCAATAGGGTGGTTCTGTTTTCCTCCTGAACTTGAAAGCCAGCAGCATGTTAGCTGTCTGCCCTCTCCGAGCACCGAGAATAAGCCAGTAGCGAACTCAGCCCAGCCTGGCTTCTTCGTGCGTGGCCTGGCCTCTTCGCGTGCCAGGAGTACACCAGCAGCCATCTCGGCCCTTCCTCTCCACGTGCCAGGATTAAGCTACTGCCTTTTCGTGCACACAGTTCTCCGTACCTTCACAATTTCTTAGGGTCAACGTGCCTCTCTCCTTCCCAGATGGCAGAGCCTCCTCTCAGCTAGCTGTCCAGTGCTTCAGGGCAATGCCTCCCCTGTTTTCCAGTTCTAAATTCAAATTTGTTGTAGTAGGCTGCATTCCAGAGTCTACTCTATGCCGTCATCTTGGTTCCCTCAAGTGTTCACTTTTATGAAGTGTTATGATGTTTTGCTTACTTTTTCTTTTGTTATGCATTGGTTGTTGTTTTTTCCCCCCTTTATATGTTTTTCTTGACAAATCATATAGACTTTCTTATTAACTTTTCCCAAATGAGCCTTAAATTGATGTCTTGCATACCCTTTAAATTCATAATTGAAAAATCTCAGGAGTTTAAGATGGTATTATGAGCTCGTTATTTGGTATTTTTATAGCAAACGAAATAAGTTTAAAAAAACAACAACACAAAAACACAAGTGGGTTTCTGATAGCCCACTTGCTGGCTTGCAGGATAAACACAACCCGGTTCATTATTTCTAAATTGTTGATTCTCTCTCACTTGTATCCTCCCCCTTTGCATTGAGCCTTTCTTTTTCACTGCAATTGTCCTTCTCTTACTAGATGTGTATTAAGAGAGTACAAGAGGGTAGATTTTGTGCTGTCTGGCGAATCAGAATTAAATGTTCTTGAAGCATTCCTGGCAGCAAAGAGGAAGAAAAGCAGAGAGACTATTTTCCAGGCTGCAGAGGCTCAGAGGTAGAAGGGAAGGTTGCAACCAAGGGACTGCTAGAAAGTTTGACTAAAATACAGATTGAATTTCAGTCACATTCAATTGCATGTTGATTTATGTTTGCTGGTTCATATTATTTTTAGTCCATTTTTGCCACACACTGAGAAAGCCAATTCTTTTAGTTACCTAGTGCTTTTTATGAAGCTAAATCTAATAAATATAAAACATTGAAAGGCAGCTCACATGTGCCAAAGGCAGCAGACGAGATAGGCAGCAGTGGTTTGTTCAGAGTCCAACCTGGAAAGAAATACCGTATTTTTCGGACCATAAGACGCTCCGGACCATAAGACGCACCAGTTTTTAGAGAAGGGAAATGAAGAAAAAAAGATTCTGAAACAAATAGTGTCCTAAAATATTTTATGTGCATTAAAACCCAACATCACAGTCATAAACACATGTAATCAACCCTGTAAAGTAAACAGCAGCATTCAGAACCATTTTAGAGCCGGGCAAGCACACAGAGACCACACAGAGCCGGGCAAGTAAAAAAACTTTTTTTTTAAAGTATATGTGTAGGCTATATTTGGACCATAAGACGCAGGGACTCCTCCCACACACACACACACACACTTCTGGGGGGGAAAACGTGCGTCTTATGGTCCGAAAAATACGGTAATTGGAAACTGTTCAGCCTTTGAGACATGTCCCTTCCTCAGTCACTGCCACCAGATCATTCTAGGTCAGTGGTTAGCAAACTGGCTCTTGAGCCACATGTGGCTCGAGAACCATGGTTTGCCGCTCTGTTGACTAATGAGTTTGCCGACCACTGGTCTAGGCTCTCAGGACTCCATGACTATTAGTGGAAAGAAGAGAAGGGAGGAGAAGGGAGAAGAGGAAGGAGATGGAAAGAGAAAACATGTCATAAGCCTGGGGTTTGCTCCTGACAGGTGAATAGATTTTTATCTTAGTCCTTCTGTTGCCCCAGACCGTGTTGGGGGAGGAAAGTACAGGTTTGTTGATGTCAATTCCATCTGAAAATATTATCTGTGACTTCTGAGACCTCGAAGGAAAGTCTGTGATTTTATGTAAGCTCTTTTTGAAGATCTACTAGTAAGATAGACTTCTTTTTGGTTTGGAAAGATAGGGTTAGGGTCCATGACAGGATGCAATGGAGTGGAACTAAAATTTGCTTTGCACAATAGAGTGAAGACTCCATATGCTTCTATTCAAGTCACTTAATCTGCGACCCCACTCAGTGGGTTTGTGAGGCAGATAAAGAATACTGTCATGTCCGAAACAGTCAATTCAAGCTGGTAAAACTCAGGGAATCATTGTGTGACACATTTGACCATGAACTAGAATACATTATTCAGGTGGCTGGGATTCTGAGTGTTGATGACCCTGTCAGTATCCTCAATGAAGAAATTAAAAAAATTAATTTAGGGTCATAGAGCAGCTTTTATTAAAGAAGAGTTATGCCTTAATCTACTTTATTTTATGGACAATTTAAGTGATTTTCAAGAGTGTTGACTTTAGAACTTAATCCCCACTTAACATGGGATTTTAAGAAAAGCTTTCAGTTTTCCCTTGGCAGTTGGAGAGACAGTATTTTGGAGACTTGAAGAGTTGGCTCCATTTACTCAGGGAAGAGCCAGGGAGAAAGATGCTTAATAAAGGTTCCCGCTGTGGAGGATGGACAATGAACTTTAGGAGCAAGGATGTCTGGTATGCAATTTTTAAGTTCTTTCCTGATTTGTGCTATAGATACTCACCATTGATTGTTAATCCTTAATAAACATAGGTTATACCACCAGCCTTGAGTTATTAGTTCCTTGTGGAATGGAGAGAAAGGGCTTCCTTCATTAAACAAGGTAATGCATCTAAAATATTTAGAATAAGCAGTTGCTTAAAGTAGAAGCATGACAAAATATTAGCTCATATCAGTCTGTTTTAGGAATACATAAAGCTCCCCAGCATGGAGGAATCAAAAGCAGTTAGTTGGAGGTAATCAAGGAGATGCTGGGAGGAGTTTAGATGGACACTGAAGACATTTGCATTGTCATCTTTACTTCTTATCATTCTCAACTGCCCTCCCCCAAATCCTGAGGAGCATTAGGGAGCAAGCCTGGCTCCCAACAGTAACTTGGCTATGAAAGGGAAGGGGGACCGGACCATCAAAGGCTAAAACCTTGTGATAATGTGGGATGTAGGCAAGTAGGCTTCAAAACTTGTTCAAGTGGAGTTTGGGTAGATAGGAATGGAAGAGTAGGGAGAAAGAGTAGGATACTCTTCAGAATCCACAACTTATAAAATGTTATTCTCTTATTTGGCTATAAACTCTTTTGTGTACCTAATATCAGTTACTTATATCAGTTGATGTCATATTAACCAGGCCATAAAATTGTGTGTTCTGTTCAAGAGAGAGTTCTCTCCATGCAAAGGAGCCATGGAGAGAAATGGGATGCAATAAATATATATTGAACTGAGTAAATTACACGTAATAAACTTAACTACGACAGTTAAACAGGCCACTTGGTAACTTGTCAACTTATGGTCACTAACCATGTTAATCGGGTTATGGGCCTTTTTTTAATAAACATTTTTCTTTGTGTCTAATCTCATTAAATCCTGTACAGTGACAGATTTTGCTTAAAAATGTTTATTAATAGCTCATTTTCATAGTTCAAAAAGGTATTACAGATGATAATCAGAAGAACAATTAAAAACAAAATCTCACCTCTACAGAGTTAGCCAGTGTGTAGACTTTATTACATAGGCACATATTTTTAAGTAAAGCAATTTTACATAAAATTAATCACAATAGTACAAAAAAGTTTCATCAAAAGAAGATAGATGACAAATGCAGGAAAATACAAGCCTTGGATCAGCTGAATCATTCATTGGATCTTGGGTCCATCCATCTTGACATATTGAAATTCACTATGGACATTATAAAAATGCAGGGTAAGGAGGAGTGCACTTTTATCATTCTCTGGCTAAAACACTGTCTGTTTAGCTTCTTGAATATAGTGAAAATGTATCCAGGCTCTGTTGGCAGTTGGACACAAAGGTTAAATGAATGTTGGCTTAGGGTCAGAGGAGTTCATAGTTATCTCTTCTGTCACCCCTATACTTTAAAACCCTTAAACACTTAGGTCCAGCAGGTTGCTGTCAGGATCTGCATATCTGCTTCCCCAGTACCAAGTGCGGTCGCTGATCTTGAATCACATGGTAGTTAAGGCTTCAACCACCATCTGGCTAGTAGTGAGAGTTTGATCAGAGGCAGAGAATGTGGAAATTTCTTGCTCTGTCCAGTTCGATAGAAGCCATTCCATTTGACCAAATCTAAGTACGAGAAACTAAAATCACACTAACACATACCAGAGGAGATGCTATTTTGTAGTTTGTACATGTTTGAAATTTTTTTTAAAAAAACTACGTTTATGTTCCTAGAAGACAGTGTGGATAGGGAGGACTGACCCTTTCATCTCATTTTGCCATAACTATATGACACAGTCCTAAGATGTTTACTAAGTGATTTTTTTTCTCCCTCGATTTCTGCAGTCTTTTGCATCAAAGGATACACCTATATATAATAAATCTCTGATCATCCTAACGTACCTCAGTACCTTGGAGGGTTAGACCTACTTCTATTGTAAGTAGTACCCAAATACAACATCCATTTTGGAGAGCTCTCTGCTCTTCCTCACACTCACACTACTGTTGTGCTGGGCCAGTGGTTGGTAAGCTGCAGCTAGCGAGCCACATGTGGCTCTTTGGCCCCCTGAGTGTAGCTCTTCCACAAAATACCACAGCCTGGGCGAGTCTATTTTGAAGAAGTGGTATTAGAAGAAGTTTAAGTTTTAAAAATTTGACTCTCAAGAGAAATTTCAATTGTTGTACTATTGATGTTTGGCTCTTCTGACTAATGAGTTTGCCAACCACTGTGCTGGGTGATCCCAGTGGACCTTCCCAAGCAGTATTCCTGTTGATCTTCACCATCCTTTGATCCTCCATATTTATCTATTTCTTTGAAGGCAAATACAAAATAGAGGATTGCAGGGTTTTCTGTGTTTCAGTTGTTTGGGCAGATGGTAAAGGATAGACACATGAAAAGGAAAAAGGTGGGCCAGCTGATTTTTCCAGTCTTCAAAGTGTAAATGTCTTGGTTCTTAAGACTATGTGAAGAGGCCTGTTGACATGAAGAATCACTGACAATGGCACCAAAGGGTATTTTGTGAAATAATCCATAAAACTGGAAAGGACCTGAGGAAACAATGAGTCCAGCTTCCTCACTTAGCTGAGGTTCCTGAAGCCCAAGTGGGAAAACTGCAAGTCACAGAACATGGTGATTTTCTCCATGACAATGTCCTTTCAAGATTCTTAGAAACCCCAATTTTAATCTCACCAATGACTTTACACCAGCAATCCTCAGTGTCCTTGTGTTTGGCTATAGCTCCCTTTAGGGAAGCTGGCTGCTAGCACAGCACCTTGTCCAAAGTAGACACTTGATAAATACTTGTTGATTTGAACTAATTCTATTATTTATCCCTACTATGCAATCTGTTATTTTTCCTAGGGCTCCTTGCTTTTCAGGGATAGCCTCAAGTCCAGGAATCTGAGGTTTGATGGCCAGTGCTATATCTGTCATCTCTCTCTAGTCTCATTCCTAGTCAATATGAATATCTCTTCATATTGAAAGTCCATTTTTTGGAGTCTGTTCTTATATAGCTTTTCATGACATACAATTGTTATCTTCCTCTCTCCAGGCACTATTGAACATATCACCATGGATAGTGACTTTACAAGGCCTGGAATTGCAAGGTCAGAGATTTTTTTTCCAATTCTCAAAATAAAAACCAAGAACTAGACTCTCAATCAGATTTGCTAAGGCACACTAGAAGAAATGTAGTAATTCCATTTTCTTGCTGTAGCTAATACATGCGAAAACATTAGTGACGCACACACTTATTTTCTGTTTATGACTGCCTCGTACATCTCATTCACTTTTAATTCCCTAAATACATATATATGAGTCATAATATCTAAAGCAGGTTTCATTTCTAAAGAACATAATGAAGAAATGGTGATTTGTAGGGAATTGGCACTTAGACCTTATTGATATTTTGAAAACATCTTTAGAACTCAGGAGAGCCTGACTGGTGTGGCTCAATGGTTAAGCATTCCACTGATGAACCAGGAGGTCATGGTTCAATCCCCTGGTCAGGGCACATGCCTGGATTGCAGGCACAGTCCCCAGTGTGGGGTGTGCAGGAGGCAGCCGATCAATGATTCTCTCATCATTGATGTTTTTTCCTCTCTATCCCTCTCCCTTCCTCTTTCTGAAATCAATTAAAATAAAAAGTTGCTTTTGTTTTAAAAAGGTAATTTGCCCAACTGTGTTTTCTATGTAGGTGACTAGCAAAACACTAGGTCTGGAATATATAGTATTATATTCCTCAAATCCCTAAAGGCTACCTTTAATCAGTTTCCCCAAAACAATAAAGGAAAAACAAATTTGATGAAATCAAAGTGGCAGGTTTTTAAATATTAATAATAATTTGCTTGTTGAATCTAAAGATAGCAGGAAAGGGATTTTCCCAGCCCTTGGTTTAAAAAAAAAAAAAAAAAAAAAAAAAAAAAAAAAAAAAAAGTCCAGGTGAGAACATGGAGGCAATCAGAATTAAGCAAGTGGAGATACAAGGTCCAACAAGCAATACACATATGATGCTAACAGGTGAGGCAGAGCTCTTGAGAGGGCGTGTGGATATTAACCTTGGGCAAGGAAGGTGCAGGAATGACCTTCACCTTGCAAACTCTTCAATTCACCTTGATGTTTCTATGAGGAATCTCATCTGCCTTTAGTATGAGAGGGGAAGGGAAATGCTCTGGAACCCTCACTTGACACTGCTCACTGGGGGACCCCACTATATTTCAAAGAGCATGAAAAACTACTCCTAGAGTCAGAGAGCCCTATTACTACTGAATGTAGAAGGGATCTTAGTTATCCAGCTCAAATCCAATGTAAGAGAACCTTTTGAAGATCATTATTTTAACTTTTGCCTGAGCATTTGCAGCAACAGGAAATTTTGCTATTGAGCCCATTCCTCTTTAAAACAACTCTTATTAGAAAGCTTTCTTATATTGAAGCAAACATCTGTCATGTATCAAGTTTCCCTTTGTTCCTATTTTTGCCCTTTGAAGCTACACAGAATAAGTCTAAGTCCTGTCCTATTTTATAGCTCAACAAATTTCAATGCACCTATTATATAATTTCTTCCTTTTCTGTACTTCCTTTCTAGCTATACCTTCTGTTCTTCAGGGATCTATTCCCCTGTTCATTGTATAATCAGACCCTTCACAATCCTGACCATCTGTCTCTGGACATAATCAATGTATTAATGTCTCTCTCAAAATACAGTACCCAGAATTGAACCTAACCCTCCATCCAGATGTGGTCTTACCAGTGCAGCTTGCAGGGCTCCCTGGACTTCTATTACCACAGGTTGAATGAAATAGCTTTATGAATAGCCACAATATACTCCTGATTCAAAACTGAATTCCTATTTCCATAAGAAAACATTTCTACATGACCTGCTGTGAAACTATAACTTTCCAACACCCTCCCATCAATACACACACACACACACACACACACACACACACTATACACAATACATATACCATGCTGTTCTTAGAGGGTTGCATTTAAGAAAACTCAAAATATAGTTTCTCATTAATGCTTCAATTTCATCTTTTTAATTTCAGTCTTATACTCAGGTGTTTAAAAACAAAAAACAAAACTATAATGATCCCTATATCCTAGTATCAGTACACAGTTAGAATTCAACTACTATTCATTGAATAAGTTAATCCTGAATCTGCTGGTCAACAAACTAGACATATGTCTATTTCTGTGTCATCTACAAATCTGATCAACGTGCTCTCTGTCCCCTCTTCCATTCTTCATGGAGATACAGAAAGGCAGAGAGAGGCTGCCTTTGAATTGTTGAGCAGGTATCCCCTTTGGGATGGCTGATGTAGCTTCTTGTGTGGTAAGAAAACACCAATGAACAAATAAGAAGCAGAGGTGCAGAAAGTGAGCCAGAATGGATGAAGGTAAAGAAGATTGAGTGTCCCAGACTCTTAAAATCAATGTTTAAAAAGTATGGCTTTCCCGCCATCTCTACCCTAGCGTCTTCTGCCTTTTAGATCTATCACAATACTGTGCTTGTCAAACTCTGAATTTGTGAAAAAGCTCAGATAAGCTTAGTTTTAAAACAGCTTTGAAATGATCTCTTCAGCATCCATTTCCTGAAAATCTGAGTTATAGAGACACACGCTCCCCTATTGGCTATGAGGTATAAAAAGAGTTCCCAAATGCCTGAGGTATAACACATATATCCACTTGTTGCAGAAATCAGAAATGGCCTATATTTTTCAATGTGAATTTGGGAATTCACTGAGAGTGAAGCTGTCTCCTGAATTGAACATAACCTTACAATGAATGTCCCTTTCCCCCAGAATGAAGAAAAATAAGTTCAATTTTGCTTTCCTTCCAACAGCCAACCTCTGCAGAATGTGGAGCTAATCACAGAATAAAAAAGTATCTCACTGTGCCTTTTTCCCATCCTGTGACCAAAACCTTAGAGAGATGGGAAAAAGTGTTTCATTCAGACAGTTTAGGATCTCGAAAACGTCAGTTGCATAGTATTCATATACAAAGAATGGAGACACCTACGAAAGGACAAGGAAACCTACAGAGGAAATTTGTTTTGTGCCTTTTCTGAACCTTTTCTAGAGGGAGTGACAGAGATGGGTTCTTAATTAACTCCTCAAGACCGTGTTTTCCAGAAAATTCATGTAAATGACAGAAGAACACTAGAAGGAAATCATGCCAACACTGATGCGGAGGCTCTTTTCCTGACTCTCCTAGTCACAATAAACCACTCCCAAGTGCTGTGAGATAAGCAGAGGCAGAGGAGGCCTCGTGAGTGAGCTCCCACGTCAGGTGAACCAGCTGCTTCAGGCAGTCAGAGCCTCTTCACAGCAGCCGCCTCGGGTCTCCTGTTCACACATAGGCAACTACCGATAGCAAGGTCCAATGCACTGCTCCCAGCATGGGGTAGTCATGTAGGTACTGACTTAAACTTCATCTATTCAGGAAGATGTCTTATTGGGACTCTTAGGTCACAGCCTCTCAGTGGGGCTTCATCACTGGACCCCACACTCCTTGGGGTTTTCCACTTCATCTCCTTCAAAGTCCGGCTTCAAACTCTTTTTTTGCTCAATCTCCACCTGCCAGGAAGGAAAGTTGGAGAGGACTATCAGAAGAGAAAACATCCCAAGAAATAAATAAATCAAGATAGAATACCTCATGGGTTTAGATTCCTTTAGGCTCCTCGTGATTTTGTTATGTTTTGAGGTTCTCTGGTGTAACTATGCCCTGTGTCTATGATGATTCTCTCTTTGCACAGACTCTTCGCTTGGGCTGGAATTCCCCCTCCCTCACTGACCACCTAGAAGACTCTTATTCCTTTGTCTTGCACAACTGCTCAAAGGTCATCTCTTCTGTAAAGCTATTCTTGATTCTTCAGGTAAAGTGAAGCACTCCCCGGCATAGTCCCACTGTACCTTCTACACTGCGCCATAGTCTCCATAGGGCAAGGGCTGGCCCGAGTCACTGCTGCATCCCAGTAATGTAGGTATACAGCAGCAAGCACAGAGGTTGATAAATGAATGGCTTCCTTCGCAATTGGCTGCTTACACTCTCCATTACTTTATCTCTTTAAAAAAGTTCCCAAGCTGATAAGTATTGCAGTGTTTTCAGTTCTACCCATACTGTCTGCAAAACACTAGCTGTAACTATCAAGGAATCAGAAATTAATCTTGCCTTGAAAGCGACACACTTCAACTAGAGCCTTGGGTAAGCCAGGCAAGTGATCCTTCAAGCTAGGAAGTTTCATAATTAAAGCTGCTTTCCTCTTCACCAAAGTGGACATTTATGACAAGGGGAAAAGTCAAGACAGAACAGTTCACTTAGGGCAGTGATTTGCTGCAAGAATTTTTAAAACACGCAGTATCTGACTAGTTGGGCACTGACCTTGTTTCCCTTAGACTGTCAAGTAAAAAAAATGACAACAGCCAACACAAAAATAGCTGCCTGATGTGAATGAATAAAAATTATATATATTTTTGTCATATCTGCAAAAAATATTTTTTTTGGTGTGCCACAGAATTTTAGTAATTAGTTTGTGTGCCATGAGATGACAAAAATTGAAAATTGCATGTCTGAAGAAAGTGCTATTTTTTTTCTGGCCACAAGATGGAGTATGTGTTCTTTTTGGTAGACCACACAACTAAGGAGGCAATTAGAAACCAATAAATCACCATATAAATCTAAGGATATTATTATGAATAGAAAATTATTAAGCCACTTTGCAAAATCTCTTCAAAAGCCCCCATTTCCATCCATGGCATTAATATCCTCCCACTGAATCTCTAACTCCCCCAGATATAGTCACCATTCGTGTCCGCACACCCCTGCTTGGTGTCTGTCTTCCTTCTGCAGCCTGATCCTGTTACTACTCTAGAAGCTGGTTGGGCTTTTGAGTTCTGTCCTGTGACAGCCCAGTGACCAGGTCATGAATGTCCTAACTTTACTCAGACTCCTGTAGCTGCTTTTGGTTACCACTTTCCTGGCACTCCTCTTGACTCCCAAATTCACTACGCTGCAACATAAATGGCATTATGAATGGGTTATAATAATTCCTTTATCACATTCTTCTTTTTTATGTTGTTGTTTATGATGACATTATATTCTCCTCTTTCATCAGCTTCTTTATTTTTCCCCCCAACCTTCCTCTTGCTCACTGAAGAGATTATTCCTTTATATCAGAGCAGACTCGCCATGGCTATGTATTACCATGGTGAGCCGCCTCCAAGGTGGTAAGGGAACACTGCCCCCAGCACAGGCACTGTTAAAAGGACAAGAGGGGGGAAGGGAGAGGGGGGACATCAGTCAGATGCCTCCCAGGCTACCTGGTAGCTGTAGTGTGCGGAATAATTGACCCATTTCCTGACGTCCGTCTTGTCTTCCACAGAGATGGATCTTACAGCAGCTTTGGAGGCTGAAGTGGTGGGCATGCTGAACTCGACATTCACGTGACTGGCAAATCTGGAAGGCACTTCCCGGTCCGAGCCAAGTTCAAGGTGGCAGAAGAAACAGTGTGGGTGACCAGAAGCTATGAAACAAAGAAAGAATCTACAGGTCAGGTTCTTTGGAGGAGGAAGTGGAAGAAGAGCCACCTCAGTAACAAAGGAGGCCTGGGGCCCTGGCCAGTGTGGCTCAGCTGGTTGGATCATAGTCCTGTACAGTGGGAGGTCGCATTCCTGGTTAGGGCCCTTACCCAAGGTTGCAGGTTTGATCCCCAGTTGGGGTGTGTAAGGGATTGATGTTTCTCTCTCACATCAATGATTATTTCTCTCTCCCTCTTTCTCTCTCTCTAAAATCAATTTAAAACAACAATATATCCTCAGGTGAGGATTTAAACACAAAAACAAAACAACAAAGGAGGCTTGGAAGTCTTTCAGAGGGGCCAGCCGTGAGCAGAGGATTTGCCTCTGCAGAAATTGCTCTGACCCTCTGATACAACACTATCTGATGACAGAAGCCTGGAAGCCTGGTATCCTAGCAATGGAACTATGGCTGAGAAGCAGAGGTCATTCGGCCTGTTCACATCAGGGTGACATGTGAGCACAGAACAAATACTAAGACATGGGGGCTGTAGACTGGCAGAGAGGAATCAAAGGGGTTGGCACTTAGCACCTAGTAAAACATCAGTGACAGCCACCTGGAGCAAAATCAATTTTCTTTGAAAGATAAATTGAATTTTCTTAATAGCATTTCATATTTTTAAAAAATGTTTGTGGCATGCTTTTGTGGATGAAAGACATATGCAAATGACAGCACCTTTGTAAGCACATTTATTTTAGGGAAGCGCAGCCAGAGAGCACACAGACTAACCGTCAGCAAGCATCCCTGAATTTGATGTCCAGCTCTCCCATTAAGCAGCAGAGATCCCGCACCTGAGTCCTTTATTCTATCCAGGCCTCAATTCTTCATCTGTAAAGTGGGGCAGCTGTGTAGGTGGGCATGGGGCAGTGGGGGGAAGCGGTGGTTGGAAAGGATGGACTGGACAATGCTAGGCATAGACCCTTCCTGTTCTTTGATTCTGTACATCTATGGTTCATTCTACTGTATAGAATGCAAACTCAAGGTTGGATTTTCATGGAGAGTTATTACTAGGTATTTGAGGGGAAAAGGTTAGAGCTTACCGTATTTTTCGGACCATAAGATGCACTTTTTTCCCCCCAGAAGTGGGGGGAAAAAGTCCCTGTGTCTTATGGTCCAAATATAGCCTACATATATACTTTAAAAAAAAAGTTTTTTTACTTGCCCGGCTCTGTGTGGTCTCTGTGTGCTTGCCCGGCTCTAAAATGGTTCTAAATGCTGCTGTTTACTTTACAGGGTTGATTACATGTGTTTATGACTGTGATGTTGGGTTTTAATGCACATAAAATATTTTAGGACACTATTTGTTTCAGAATCGTTTTTTCTTCATTTCCCTTCTCTAAAAACTGGTGCGTCTTATGGTCCCGAGCGTCTTATGGTCCGAAAAATACGGTATTTCTGTGACCGTCACTCATGAAGCTTTGTGGTCGTCATCATTCATCAGATGCAGCAGGAAAATAGTTGAGTGCTCTGTGCCAGGTTCTGTGCTGAATGCTTTCTGTTCTGCAGATTCTCTCACAGTCTCTTCATAACAGAATTTGGAGATCATAATATTATATTCTACTAGAGGCCCGGTGCACAAAATTTGTGCACAGGCGGGGGAGGGGGGGTGCGCAATCCCCTCAGCCCAGCCTGCACCCTCTCCAATCCCAGACCCCTCAGGGAACATCCCTCTCACAATCCTAACTGCTCACCTGCCTGCCTGCCTGATCTCTCCCAACTGCCCCCCCCCCCCAACCACCTCCCGCCAGCCTGGTTGCCCCAACCGTCCCCCCTGCCAGCCTGATCACCCCACACGTCCTGCTACCCAGTCATCCATCTGGTCGTTTAGGTTGTGATGGCCCCTGGCTTTTTATATATTAGGATTGCAAAGAAGCAGAGCTGAGACCTGACTAAGCCCAGCTGTCTGACCCCAAATTGTTTTAACCACTTTGTCTGAGTCATAACCTCTTGTTTCCAAATCTCAAGACCAGGTCTGCAGGGTGACAAAGTCTACGGGGTGACAATGTCTGCAGGGGAAGTCAGCTATAAGAACCCCCACATAGCAACTGGCTATGGAGAAACAATGTTACAGCCCTTAGTTATCTGAGTTTTCCCAAATAAACAATTCCAAGTTCCTTTATTGGTCTGGGAGGGACTTTTTAATCTCAGTAAGTGAGGCCCCTACACACACCCTCTCTCCAAGGAAAACATTACAGAATGAAGTATTTGTTTTGCTCTGTTTCACAAATGTGAGATGTTTCACTGGTTCTTTCTAAAGAGTAAAACTTTAGGAAATTAATTGAAAAATTTGCACTGGTTTTAGGAAAGGAATTTAAGATACATGTAATAGTAGAAATTATATTATTTAAAAAGACATTTATTTTATTTTTAAATAGTGTGCCACATATGTAATTATATAGCCATCATCTATTGAGCATTCATTACAGGCCAGAAACTATGTTAAACAATTAAAAGCATTTTCTAATTTCATTCTTAATGGGTTAGATATTAATAACCCTATTTTATAGATGAGGAAAATGAGATTTCTCTGAGAGAGTAAAGTAAATTGCCTGAGGTCACAGAGTCATTACATTGTAGTACTGGGAATAAAACAGATCTGACTCTAAATTATGATTAAACTTCTCTCAATGTACTGCTATAGATTTAAATCACTTCAAAGTATATAGAGGAATTTCTTTCTTTTTTTTTTTAATATATTTTATTGATTTTCCACAGAAAGGAAGGAAGAGGATAGAGAGCTAGAAACATCGATGAGAAAAACATCGATCAGCTGCCTTCTGTACACCTCCTACTGGGGATGTGCCCGCAGCCAATGTATGTGCCCTTGACCGGAATCGAACCTGGGACCTTTCAGTCTGCAGACCGATGCTCTATCCACTGAGCCAAACTGGTTTTGGCGATATAAAGGAATGCAGAGAGTTGGGGGCTGCATATGCACATGGCTGAGCTGGCACCCAGGAGCGGCTTGTTAAGTCTTTTGATGGCTGGGATTGGGACACACCTGCTGTGGCTGAGGCGTGGGCTGCCAGCAGAGCCAGAGGTGCTGCCCAGCTGGCCCCTGCTGCCTGTGGTCTGCCTGCCCTGCCCACTGGGGCTGGGGATGCAGAGCCACTGCAGGTGGGAATGGGTGTGCAGAGATTTAGGCTTCCTTCACTGTAGACGGAGGGTGAGGATTATGAAAAATAATCTATAAAAGGCACCTTCCCAAGGCTGTCTGAAGACCAGGATAGAAGAACTCCAAAAAAAAAAAAAAAAAAAAAAAAAGACAACTACTAATAGATCATCAATTCCCTGGTTTCTTGGCATGGGATGGGGAGAACAGGGGACTGGGCGCAGCGAGTACCAGCAACGGTGAGAACCTGCAGTCTCACTGGAGTTCAGATCCTGTACACCTCCAGTTTCCAAGAAAGGGTGCTATCCATTTCCTAAACTGACACCAAAGTGGCCAGCAATATTACAAGAGTCCCCTTTTGGGGACTATATAACCTAAATCTATATAACCATGACAGCAAAAGCAGTAACTGGGGTGGCGGGGGAGGAGGACATTTCCGTGAGAAACATTCCCAAATATCCCTATGTTTTCCTGTATTTCAAAAATCTTTCACAAATAAGGTTTCAGTCATCTGGAAATACATATGTAATATGTAATATGTAAGTTACTTGGCTTTAAGCCTACTGAACACCGCCCACTGGGAATCATTAGGAAAGTGTTTGCTGAAGACCCATTTATCCCCCCTGTCCTGGATCCATTCCTCTTTCTTCTGGTGACAATCCCCACCCCACCCCCCACCCCACCCCCCCCCCGGGAAATTATCTTCCCCAGCACCGTGTCATCTTGGTGGGCTTGTCGGTCAAAATTCACGTCCTCCTTGACTCGAGTCAAGTGGCACAAGGACAGAAACTGGCTTGTGATCAGTCCCAGCGGCTGCAGCCTGAGGAGACACCATAGTTCCTCCTATCAAGAGCTGTCCTCCCTTCAATTCTGAGCTGCCCAGATCCTTCCAACAGCTTCCCTTTCCTTAAAGCAGCCAGCCAGTCTTTACGGCTTATAACCCAGATCCCTCAGGTAATGCTTTCAAATAACTGAGAGAAAGAAGTTTGAAACAAATGGTACATGTGTGTACACATTGGAAAAACTACAAATCTCTGTCCCCACAGTGGAAATTATTTCAGGTTCGGGTCTATTTGGTGTCATTTACGTAGAAGCAGCTTCGGTGTTGGGAAAAGAGCCCGGATGTGGCTTTGTGACTTCAGAAGAGTCATGTCACCTCCTGGCCCTTAATCTTCTCCCATGTAGAATGACGAGTTTGAGTGAGTTGTCCCCAACATCCCTTCCACCTTGAAAAACCCAATAGTCCCAAAATAAAATTATACGAGTCCATGCCTAGTAGTATACTCAAAATCCCAATAATCATACACCCGAAGCCTTGTTTTTCTCCATGTCATGTGTCTAGCAGGTTAAACAGGAACTTTCTCCCTGTCTCCTCAGATCTCTTCCCCAAGGCCTCTGTGGCAGAGAATTCAGGCTTTCTCCTTTCCTCCACTGATTCAGAGGGGCCTGTGGCTGAGATAGAAACCACAGCGCTCTCGCCAGAATACAGGGATCTTTCAGGGGACATGAATTAACAAGCACAAAGAGGAAGACTTTATCTTAAAAGTTCTGTCAGTTTAGAAACGGAGGGTGGCAATTCCAGCCCCAGACACAGAGGTCCAATTGTCCTCCCGGGCTGCCCTGCTACGCCCAGCGTCTGACACAGCCTGCACGGCTTGGGATGCCTGGCGAGTTGACCAGATCCCATTGCTTCTTGCCACCCCATCGTATTATATTTAGAGTATGATAACAGCCTCTCCGCACAGAACAGGAAATGAGGGCACAGAACACTGTTAGGATTCCATGGTGAAACTGGAAATAAGAGAATCTGCACAAGAGAAAGACATTCCAATCAAGAGTTCCCCCAAACCTCATTCTTTTTGCTCGGCTAGGTTACCCACTTTTGTGATCAGATGAGCCAAGTTTATAAACAAGAAGAGAAGTCGTTTTAGAGGATCATGGGTGCACTGCCTGCCACTGGGGTCACCCAGGCTTACTCTCATAAATGAGGCTACAGAGCTGGCCTGCTTGCTCCCTAGTTTTGTGGTTTCACTAAATCTCACTGGAACCATGAGGAAAGCCATTGCCTCCCGGGCTCATGCAAGCACAAAACCATCCCTGATAGCTGTGAGCAGGCCCGCTAGGGCTGGTAGGCTTGATCTCTCTGATTAAATAATCACATATTCCTTCCTTTACTTTCTGTTGGTAGAATTTTAGCCTTTTTTAGACCGTTATATCCTGGCTGGATCTTCCATCTGATCAGAGGCCATTTCTCCTCTTCCCTTTTCCCAGATCCCAACTCTGAGCAAGATACGATAATTGACAGGCCTTTCACGGGATGACTGGGAGAAAAATATACTCCTCACCCGTACTGCAAATATGATGAACCGTAATGAACTGGCCCTTTTGGCTACACCAGGGCATAGTTTAAAAAGTATCTCTTCAGAACCCAGAAGCCTTCTAGGATCTGGCAATGGATAGCTTCCAGCAACATAGATAATGTTTTAATGAGTCAGAAAGTAATGTAAATTCATAGCTGCCCTGGAAAGCCACTTAGCAGCTCAGTGGAGAATAATACAGAGCTTTATAGAAGACATGTCATAATTTAGGAGGTGAAATGATGGAGTGAAGTGTTTGTTACTTACTCTGCTCAAATATTTTTGCTTTTCTTGTCCCACTCCCCATTCGTCCCCATCCCCATCACAAACCAAAACTCAGCTCTTCACAGGGAAATAGGGTGTGGAACTCTGATCCTGCTGACTGGTGACTGGGCAGTGGTTTTCACAAACAAGAACCACCCTCCACTTACCCGAGTTCTTGTCAGGCAGCCGGTTTATCCTCCACACGATGGAGTTGAAGGCATGCTCGTACTTGGCAGTCCCCAGAGTCACTCTCATGACAGGCTCCGAGCCAGACACACTGGTGGAACCAAAGCTGGCCCCCCGGTTGACCTTGGCTTTCAGAGACTTCTCCCCCAGGACGCTTTCCCTGCGGAAGTTTTTCACCCACTCACTGGGCACAGGGTAGCGAACCATCACGTTCTCACAGGGAACCTGAGTGAGGGGGTCACAGTTGGAGGAGAAGCCGGTGGACATCCTTAGCCAGCTCTGCACCTCCACCTCTGCCCCGTTGATGCTCGCAGCCGTCCGAAGCGTGAAAGGCAAGGTCTTCTCAGCAAACACTGTCCTGAAGCGCATCAGCTCGAAGCGGCACGCGTCCAGAGGGTTGAACAGGATAACCCGGGAGCTGTGGAACACATCCTCATCCACACACCCGTGGAAACGGCACTCATGGAGCCTGATCCACTTGGTGGTGGTGGTCGGCATGATGTCTTGCCGGGAAACGACTTCGTTCCCTTTGACCAGGATGTCGTTGAGGCCCAAGCGGCACTCTGCCAGCCCCGAGAGGAAACTCAGGATGTGGATCCGTGTCAAGACGTGGTGCTGGAGAATCCGGTGGTCCCCTTTGCTCACGAGGGCAGAGAATTCATCCCTGACATCCACGGTAATCTCCTCTTCCAGGTAGTTCAAGCCGACTGTGCTCAAATCCATGGACAACACGGGCAGGTCCATGAGATGGTCCTGGACCGCACGGATGAAACTCAGAAAGTCATCGTAATTGGTGGTGCCCAGCTTAATCACTTGTTCCCTCTCGGCTGTGTGGGCGACAGCAGGTTTGGGCTGGTATTTCTTCTTTTCCTTGTATGTGACTCTGTCGATCCTCAGGCTGTGGATCCTGCCATTCTCATCATAGTTTTGGAGCCGGGGTTCTGAAATCTCATGGCAGATCTCCAGCTTGAACTCTCGGAATGGTTTCTCTAGGCCCTGCTCGTAATACAGCTGCAGGTAACCAGCAGCTGTCAGTCTGATGTAGATGGGTCCCCAGTGTCTGGAGGACATGATGTTTTTCTTCTCGGGGATCCTTAGCATCATTGGCCACCCGTCCCTGGGCTGGGAAGGTGCTGAGCCAGGCGGGTGGTCGAGTTCGAGCCAGGCTACTGGGTCATCATCGGGCAGTGTCGCACTGCCTAAGTGATCGGGATCGTCAATGTGGAGTTGTTTGAGTTTTTCAACAGCATCAGAGTGTGACTGGTTTTTGCTTGAGTCATCAAAACTGATGGCATCCTGGTAGATGACAATGAGAGAGTCCCTCTGGCTTTTGCCTGTGGTGCCAGATGTGGAGTTGGTTTGGGAGCGCCTCTCCTGCTCCTCAAAGAAAGCACTGAAAGGGTTGATTGGGGAGGGTTGTACATCCTGGAGAGTCTCATTCAGGAAAGGGTTGGTGGCCCTCCAAGGCGGAGCCTCGGCTATGGGAGGCGGATGGTTTAAGGAGGAAACGTCCAGCTTCTGAATTTTGGAGTTCATCAACGTGCTCTTGGGACGTTCCCTCTTCTTAAATGAGCCAGTTGAGTAATAAGGCTCATCTGGGGTCACAGATGCAATAGACGGCATGTTTGACTTCAGAGGAGAGGTGACAGGTGGCAAGGGGCAGCTGACTTCATTGTCATCAAAAGTGACCCAGCTGGGGAAACGAGCAGAGGTCACTGGAGTGGCAGCGTGCCCATTCATGACAGGACTGCTGGCCTGCCAGCGGATGGCCTCCATGTCTACCTCTTCATCTTCCTGGAGTGAGGAAGAGTTGTCTAAAAGGAAAAAGAAAAGACGTGAGGGCTGCTATCCAGGGCCCCTAGAAGTATGAGAAACTGAGGTATGAGAATGAGCAATGACTAGCATTTTATCTGGAATTCAATAAATTCCAAAGCAAATCATTACCTGTCTCAAGTGCTTAGTCTGGGCACACATAATTCTGTAATAAGCACACAAGAGGGGCCTTATGTCCAATACAGTAAGAATACAGATGAGCCGAGACCGGTTTGGCTCAATGGATAGAGCGTCGGCTTGGGGACTGAGGGGTCCCAGGTTCGATTCCAGTCAAGGGCATGTACCTTGGTTGCAGGCATATCCCCAATAGGGGGTGTGCAAGAGGCAGCTGATTGATGACTCTCTCTCATCGATGTTTCTTTCTATCTCTCTCCCTTCCTCTCTGTACAAAATCAATAAAGTATCTATTTAAAAAAAAGAAAAAAGAAAAAAGAAAAGAAAAAAAGAATACAGATGAGTCTACTGATATAGAAGCATTGATAGGACCAAGTTCCCTTGCAAATTGAACTCTTATACATTCTCACTTTTATATGAGTTTCTAGGATAGATGTTTTCTTTGCTCTAAAGTTTGTATTATTTTTTCAAAATAAAATTGTATTGATTTCAGAGAGGGAGGTAGAAGAGAGAGATAGAAACATCAATGATGAGAGAATCATTGATTGGCTGCCTCCTGCATACCCCCTACTGGTGATTGAGCCCACAACCCAGGCACATGCCCTTGACTAGAATTGAACCCACGGGATCAGGCCTAAGTGGGAGGTGGACGTTCCCCAAGGGCTCCTGGGCTGCAAGAGGGATGTCTCACTGACAGCTTAGGCCTGGCCTCCTAGGAAGTGGGCCTAAGTTGATAGATGGACATCCCTTGAGGGCTCCTGGACTGTGAGAGGGCACAGGCTAGGCTGAGGGACCCCTGAGTGCACAAATTTTCATGCACTGAGCCTCTAGTATGTTATAAATATCCAAATGGCCATTAGCAGAAAAAGGTTCCCCAACCCTGCTCTAGAAGAATGTGTACAGGGGTCTCTGCCACTATTCCACCCAGTGTTTCTACTGCCAGGAATTGGGAATTAGAGAGAAATGGATATTCAAATGCTCCAGTCAAATAGTTGAGTTTTCTAAATGCTTCGCTCAACTTTCATGAAATCATATCCAATCATAACAAATCAGAAATGCCACCCACAGTTGCAAATGTAATTACATGTGGATGGGAAGGCTGGCTTGCCATCCATCTTTCCAAGGATATTTATTCAAACAAATAGCAATTCCTTCTACTGGAAATGTCAGTTTGAAAATGTAGGCTACATACATGAGCATGCATAGGCACAAAAAGTATTTTCTGTATGTACAGCACCACAAAAGGGTTTCAAAGCATTTTTAAATTAAAGACACTATCCATCAAATTAATCATTAGCCCACTTTTATAGATGCCTATGTGATTTATTTTCTAGAAAATAAAGGGGAAGGGGTCAGGAAACAACACAGGTTTTAGAATTTATATTTTATGTATTACTACTACTAAAGGAATAATGTGGGCCTGAGTAAAATATAATCACTTCCTTGGAGCTATAACTGATCCTCCCTACAGAGCTGGGAGGGAGTGAACCTTGAAACCCATCAATTTCTAATGAATCGGCTCTATGGAGTCTCTGTTCCCACCCACCCAGTCAGAAACTGACCCACCCTTGTATCAAGGGCATCCTTGAGCTCATCACCACTCCCTGATTTAAGACAAGCTAAAGTCCTTTTCCTTTGGAGGCTGGCTTTCTGCCTAAATTGCCAAAGGATTCCTGTCTGTTGGGAATCTTGTCCCCAAAATAGTATTTCGGATCTTCCTTTTCCAAGCCAAAAAAGAAGGGGGGGGGAAAAGGCCTTTGTTTCCAGTGAAGATAATTTTCTTACAATAAATTTCTTTCTTTCATTTTTAAAAATATGTTTTTATTGATTTTAGAGAAAGGTAGGGGGGGGGGGGGGCGATGTGGAGAAGGAGAGAAAGAAACATTGACGTGAAAGAGAAACATCAATGGGTTGCTTCCCATAGGCACCCAGACTGGGAATCGAACACACAACCTGGTGTGGCTGATACTGGAAACAATGGTAGAGGAGGCGAGCAAATTTCTCCAGTAAGAAATCAGCAAAAACTAATTATTTTAAGAACTAAATTAACTATCGCAATTGTGTTTTATTGACTCGTTAAAATAAAACCAAAAACCAAAAATCCAGCTTTATTTTAATTACTATCTCTTCCACTTGCTACTTCCAAATTGCTCTTATGACGAACTGGGCTGCTGCCAAACAAAAGCCACAGATGAAGGTTAGGTTCTTGTTTTACACCACAGCGGGAGTTTGCAGGACCTAAGAGCTTTCTAGTTAGTGTCTTAGCTGATGCAAACCAAAGAAAACGGTGGATTCTTTTCATGTTAGACCACAGCCTTATTTTCAGTTTGCAGAAGATTAAATGAAATGATTACAATGGTAATCAAAGCCACCAGACTGAAAAAAAAAATGTAAAAACTATGGGGAGAAAAAAAATAACCATTTCTGTGAGATTTTAAACACAGCAGACACTCTGTCATCTTTTCCCCCTAATTGGGTAGCATAATTTGTTAATGCCAATGGCAAATGCAAAAATCTTATTGAGGGCTGTTCACTGGAATTCATTAGCAGCGACGAGAAGAAATATTCTTAGATTATCACAGTTTCTCAACATGAGATAGCAGTCACTGTTATACAAGAGAATATAGTTAAAACTGTATAACTAGTCTCAGACGCACAGTCGGCACTTAAATATTTGTGTCAAATGTAAAGCGAAGAGAGGGACACAAATCACAGAATTGGAGGGCTTGAAGGGATTTTAGAAACAGAAATTGACCTGTTCATTTTGCTGAGATGACTGGGCCTCAGTGAGTTTAAGGAACTGCCCAAGGTGAGATTAAAAAGCAAGTCCTACATTTAATCATTAACTATTTTCTTAATGCTTGTTTGTTAAACTAAAATCAAGTTAATTTTTTCCCATTGCCTTTTAGATTGGCAAGAGTTATCTCGATACAATTTTTTAGGAGCATTCTTCAGTGAGGAAAAGAACTCAGCTAAACAAGGATTAACATCCACTTATACAGAGATGCTTTTGGGCACAGGGTCAGGAATGTCACCCCCTGACATATGAATGTGTGTGGGTGAGAGAAAGGAGTTAGTCATCCAACCTTATCAAGGCAGCATCTAACCTAGGTGAAATCAACTGGAGCTTAGTTATCATCACAAACACACTGGCAGAAAACAAAAAAACAACAACAGAGGGTGGGAGTCTATTCATCTGTCCTAGCATTGTCATGGAAAGAGGATGCTTTGATTCTGGCAAAGTTACATGGTCAGAGATACCCCCAAGTGAAGAAGCCAATTCACTGAACTACCACTTATCACTACTTGACAGAATCCCTATCAAGAACATTGGACATTACATTCTGGTTTGAATTGGCTAGGAGGACCTCCAGAACAGTACTCAGCACCTTCTTCAAATGACAGTTTGCTAATCACTCCCCGTTAATCAAGATGGGATTAGTCTTTAAGTTGGATGAATGGCCCAGGAACATCCCCAATATTTTGTGTTCCTGACCAATCTGTTCTCTCTGGTTCTGATTTACCATTGCCCACTTCCCATGCCTTACCCATTCTCAAATTGCACTCTTACCCTGATGGGTTTATATACTTTAAGCACACCAAGCAATGCCTTCTTTCCCTGAAAAGTCCTGAAACAGTTATATAGTAGAGCCATCCTACTGTAGATCAGACACAAAGTCTGATCATTTTGAACCTTAGCGATGGGAACTGCTAACTCTTTAAAGTTGATTCTGCAGCCAAGACCGGTTTGGCTCAGTGGATAGAGCATCTGCTTGCAGACTGATAGGTCCCAGGTTTGATTCATGTCAAGGGCATGTACCTTGGTTGCGGTCACATCTCCAGTAGGGGGTGTGCAAGAGGCAGCTGATCGATGTTTCTCTCTCATTAATGTTTCTAACTCTCTATCTCTCTCCCTTCCTCTCTGTAAAAAAATTTAAAAAAAATAAAAAAAAATTAATAAATAAATAAATAAGTAAAGTTGATTCTGCAAATTTGGTCGGGGGCAGAGAAATGGAACTGGAGGCTCTCACAAATACCCTTGTGTACATGTGTACTGGGGATGAGGAGGGGGCAGGCATTCTAACTGTGTCTGTACGAAGTCTGTTTATCTTGCATTTGTAAACTATGCTAGGCTACAATATAGCTTCCAGGAGAAACTCAAAAGATCTGTTTGGGGCAGGGTATACAATCAGTTGTGCTAAGAGTATCCATAGAAATGTTAGGGTCAGAAATAGAATAGCAGGGACTAGCTATAATTATCCTATATAATAAAGAGGTATTATGTAAATGGATCCTCACGCCCTCATGTCTCAAGATGGCCACCCCCATGTTGTCACAAGATGGCCACCACAAGATGGACACCCCATGTCATCACAAGATGGCTACCCCCACATCATCACAAGATGGCTGGCAGGAGAGGCCAGTTGTGGGTGATTGTGCCAGCAGGGGAGCAGTTATGTGTCAATCATGCCAGCAAGGGAGTGGTTAGGGGCAATCAGGCAGGCAGGCAGGCGAATTGTTAGGAGCCAGCAGTCCTGGATTGTGATCGGGCCTAAACTGGCAGTTGAATGTCCCCTGAAGGATCCTAGATTGGAGAGCGTGCAGGCTGGGCTAAGGGACACCCCCAAGTACACGAATTTTGTGCCTCTAGTCTTATATAATAAAAGGCTAATAAGCAAATAAACCGAACAGCAGAACTACTGCTCACTATGATGTGCACTGATCGCCAGGGGCAGGCACTCAATGTAGGAGCTGCCCCCCTGGTGGTCAGTGTGCTCCCACAGGGGGAGTGCCACTCAGCCAGAAGTTGGCCTCATGGCTGGTGAGCACAGTGGCAGTGCTGGGAGCCTTTCCCACCTGCGTGGCA